TTGGGAGATCTGACATGCAACTCTTCTCGATAAAATGTGATAGGGAGGGAGCCTCTTCGGAACTTGTCGAGGGTGGCACTCATGTCAGAGTTAGCCTCCATTGACTGCTCAAACCTTCTCTTTATCGAGCCTACAATGCACTTATTAAATTAATTGCCCCAAATAACCATTGCTGCTTGGAATGACTCCCAAGGACTGTGTGATGAGAAGTACAGGGGGACCTCATCCATCTCAGGGAAATAAAAATCTTTTGGCCTCGTGATGCTCATAGCGACAAACATGAGAGCTTTGTCCAAGGAGATACCTGCTTTCTTGACTTGTTTGGATTCAGGAGTGACTTCCTGAGGAGTTTCCTTCTTTCTATACTGATTGAGATGCCCATCCCAATGAGGATCTCAATGACATCCTTAAGGTGGATGCAGTCTTCCGTCGTATGCCCGTAACTTTTATGAAACTTGTAGTACTTGCTTTTGTCCGTTCCTAGCTTGGGTGCTGTTTGTCTGAGAAAGCGAACCTCATCTTACTCGAATTCCGCATTCGTGCAGTCGATCATAATCTTCTCGCGCGAGACACTGAGAGGGGTATAATCATGGAAGCGACCAGGTGGCCCCTTGTAGTCACGAGACTCCCAGGGCTTGTCTTCCCTTTTCTTTTCACCTCCTCGACGGGACATCGAGGGTTCATCATTCTTTGAGACCTTCACCTTTTCTCTATGCCGCGAGTCCTACATGTTGTTAGTTGCCTATTTCTCCTCATACTAGATGTACGCATGTGCTTTGAGAAGGAGAGCATCCAGAGTGGCCAATGATTCGATGCTAATTACTTTGGTAAAGTCACTGCAGGGAGAAAGCTCGCGTTCAAGGAGATACTTCTTCATGCCGTCAGTCGTGGAGACTTGTACGACTTCCTTGTTAAAACATCCAATGTACGCTAGAAGGGACTCATCCCTTCCTTGGATGATCGCCTCTAACGATGCCTCTGACTTGGGATGTCGGGAGGATACCGTAAAATTCCTGGAAAATTTCCTTCCTAGGTTCTTCCACGACGTGATGGATTCATCGGGAAGAATCTTGTACCACGCCATGGCTCCTTTCTTGAGCGTGGTAGGGAAAATCCTGCATTTAATTTCTCCTCGAACTCCGCTATAGTCGAGCAGCGTATCGATGTTTTCGATGTGCTCGTCAGGGTCGGTGGTTCCATCATATGTCCCTAAGTTCATAGGTTTCTCCTGCGCGTCTGGGAGTGCGGTTTCCATGATATCTCTAGATAACGGGCCGCAGGGCTTATCGTTTTCGTCACTTTAGTCAAGAGATGACAGAGGAGAATGGTAGATCCTTCCTCTTTAGGGGCTGTTGTCCCGACGGGGAGACACGCTTCTTGGACCCTACTTTGGCTTGGGCGACGAAGAGCGATCGTGATCAAGCCGTTGGTTGTTCTTCGAGTTTTTGGAGATCGGAGAATGTCGGTCACTACACAGAGGTGTGCAACCCCGTTTCTTGAGGAAGGAAACTTCTCATTTCTTCCGCACGGACGGTTGGCCACGTCTCGGAGGTGATGGGCTGCGGGAGTCATAACGTTGGTGTCTCCGAAAAGGAGACCTGCTTCTTTTCTAAGGCCCAAATCATGTTGCTCTGTTGATAGATTAAGGCGTTGGTTTGGTTGAGGGCGGCGAGCAAAGCTGCCATGGCCGGGTCGATGTTGGGAGGAATCAGATTTGGTTGAAGGATCACTGACAGCTCCTCTTCGAACTTCTTGGATTTCTGATTTTTCCCAGAAGTGAACATCATCGTGGCGGGCGTCGGTCGAATCGAAGGATGTGGTTCGACCATCTCTGACGTCAAGGATATACTCGAGGTGAGGAGGCTCTTCGTTGCTGTCCGTCTTGGGGACGAGGGAGAGCACAATCATTCCAGAAAAGTGGTTGCCATCATGGTCGGCCATGATAGAAGTTACGGAAGTTTCTTTGGTCTTCAGTTTTGATGAAAAGGAAGACAGGGAAGACAATTTCCCACAGACGACACCACTGATCTTGTCGGTTTAATTAAAATCTGAAGTGGACCAAGAAGATGACGTCTGTTTGGCTAGAAATCTGAGGAGAGGAGGGGGTGTACCTGTAAGACACTCTGACGCTCAAGTGAGAAAGAGTGCAAAGAGATACAAGAAAGAGATTAGGATTTTCTAAAGTGATTATTCGATACCTGGCCCTCACAAGTGTAAAGGTTTATATAATACCTCTGGCGTGTAACCATTGATTTCTATTTTTGGACCTAGATATTGGGTTTCACAAAAATAGATAACTGCCAGGACTTGGTCACAACGGGAAGCCATGTTTGTTACTATCCGTTGCTCCGAGCAAGGAGAATATTATGGGCATGTGCGTTTATGGACGCTTCTTGGTTGTCTGCTCTATAGTGTCGAACAGACTTGGAGGTGGATGTTGACGTGAAGAGACGCGTGGTCAGGGCATCGTTATCCATGCCAGCCTTGTGGTGTGACCGATCATGCGTGCTCGATCAAAAACCAGAGTTAGTGAACCAGAGTTGTTAGGTCGTGCTTGAGATAGAAGCAGATTAGATTAATTCTAGTCATTGGATCAGTCCAAAATAATTTTATTTTTAATTCTTTTTTGTCTTTTCTTTATTCATCCCTCTTTATAACTTTTATTTTATGATTAACTCCAAATTTAAATTTTTTTTGCTAAAATTTTAAATTTTATTTTAAATTTTTTTGTCTTTTCATTTTTCATTTACTTTTATATTTTTCTTATTTTATGTTTAACTCCAAATTTAAAATGTGTAAAATTAATTCTAAAAGTCTGGAATTTTTCTTATTTTTAATTCCTCTTTTGTCTTGTCATTTATCATTCATTCTTATCTCTTTCTTATTTTATATTTGACTCTAAATTAAAAATCTTAAAAATTAATATTAAAATCTTAAATTTAATATATTTTTAATTCTTTTTTTGTCTTTGATTATTCACCCATCTTTATATATTTCTTTATTTTAATGTTTTACTTCAAATATTAATTTTTTATTCTAAACTTTTATAAATTATTTTAATTTTGATTATTTTTTGTCTTTTTATTCTTCATCCATCTTTATCTCTTTCTTATTTTATGATTAACTACAAATTTAAAAATTTTAAAACTAATTCTAGAATTATAAAAAAATTTATATTTTTTTTCTTTTCATTATTCATCCATCTTTATCTTTTTTTTTTGTATATTTTACTCAAAATATAAAAAATTTATTCTAAAATTTTAAATTTTTTATAATTTTTATAATTTTTTGTCTTTTTATTCTTTACCCACCTTTATATCTTTCTTATTTTATGTTTAACTACAAATTAAAAATATTTAAAATTAATTCTAAAATTCTGAAAATTTTATTTATTTTAATTCCTCTTGTGTCTTTTCATTCATCATTACACTTTATCTCTTCTTTATTTTATTTTTATGTTTGACTTTAAATTTAAATCTTAAAAATCAATAATAAAATTTTAAATTTTATTTTAAATTCTTTTTTTTTGTTTTTTCATTATTCATCCATTTTTATCTATTTATATTTTTATGTTTTAATCCATATATAAATTTTTCATTCTAAATTTGATAATTTATTTTAATTTTTTTTCATTTTTCATTTTTTATTCTTCATCCATCTTTATCTATTTCTTATTTTAAGTTTAAATTAATCCAAATTTAAAATGATTAAAGTTAATTTTAAATTTCCGAAAATTTTCTTACTTTTACTTTCTTTTTTATCTTTTCATTCATCATTCATATTTATTTCTTACCTATTTTTGTTTGACTCTAAATTTAAAGTATTCTAAATTAATTATAAATTTTGTATTTGTTTTAATTCTTTTTTTTGTCTTTTCATTATCCATCCATCTTTATCTCTTTTTTTTTTTTTTATGTTTGATCCAAATTTAAATTGTTATTCTTTCTCTTTTCAATCATTCCTTATTTTATGTTTGACTCTAAATTTAAAATCTAAAAAATTTATTCTAAATTTTTAAATTTTATTTTATTTTAAATTATTTTTTATCTTTTCAGTCTTCGTTCATATTTGTCCATTTTTTATTTTATATTTAACTCCAAATTTAAAATTTTTAAAAATGAGAGAGGATAATTTAATATCAATGTTAAATATTAATTTTGACACTACATTTTTCTCATTTATTATTATTAATCAAAAGTCTAAGATAAATTACTTTAAAAATATATGTGTTTGTTTTTAAATAAATATTTTTTAATTTTTAAATTAATAATAATAAATGGATAAAACTTAGTGTCATGACATTTTAATATCAATTAATCTTATCTCTTTAAAATTATTTCTAACAAACCAAATTTTTTCTTAATTTTAATTTTGTTTTTATCTTTTCATTCTTCATCAAACTTTATCTCTTTATTTTATGTTTGACTTAAAATTTAAAATGTTTAAAATTAATTCTAAATATCTGAATTTTTTTCTTAATTTTAATTTCGTTTTTATCTTTTCATTCTTCAACCAACATTTCTCTTCCTTATTTTATGTTTAAAAGTAATTCTAAAATTTTAAATTTATTTTAAAACTGTTGAATTATTATTGAATATAATTGATTTTATATTTAAAATTAATTCTAATATAAATATACAATTTGTTTCTTTTTGACAATGCGATATTTTAAATTTATAAATTTCTTCGATAATGTTATTTTCTTATAAATTTATAAATAAAAAATTGAGTTAAATGGAGAGACAGATATATAAAATTTTTGTACACGTCCAATAATTAAATATTAATTTATTATGTTATATTTACAGTAATATATAATTGTGATTGATTAACAATATAAAATTAATTTATAATATTAATGTATTATTTATTTTTATTTTTACATATAAATTTTTTAGAAATTAATATAAATAGCTTATATGATTGATTATATTAGAATGAATTCCAACATATAAATATTTAAAGAATCACCGAAAAAAAAATTTCAACAAAGACCAAATATGAAGAATAAAGTAGAGAACATGGATGAAGCTAGAGAAGAAGTCATGGTTTCAGCATCATCCAGTGAAAACCAAACACTTAGAACTGCATATTGTCTCCAACCTTGCATCCAAGACTCTAATGTTCTTCAATCCCATTTTCATATTTCTTCTGAAACTAGCACACACCTGCCACTAGATGTAAGGTACAATGGATGGAGACCACCCACTGAAGAATGGAAAAAATGGGTTAAAAGGTTACGACCGAAATTCGAATATCTATGGTTACAAACTGGAATATACCATTCTATTAAAGCTTCTACATATGAAATCAAAAGGGATGATGAGTTGATTCTTGAGCTTGCTAATAGATGGTGTCCCGAGACTAATACATTTGTTTTCCCTTGGGGAGAATCAACAATAACATTGGAAGACACTGAGGTTTGTTTTGGTTATTCGGTTTTGGGTTGTTCGGTTTCTAACCCTCTTATGAACAGTGAACATGTAAAAGCAGAAGAGGAATTAATGGAAGCAAGAAGAATGTTTAATAGTTCTAAAGCTAAAAAAGTGAATCAAAGGGCATGGATGATGTATTTTATGGAGATTGAAAGCAGTAAAGTGGAGCATGAAGCTTTTCTGGTTTATTGGTTGTCAAGGTTTGTTTTTCCTGCAGATTCTTGTGATACTATTTTGAAAACTGTTATTCCTATTGCAATACATTTAGCTCATGGAAATAGAGTAGCTCTTGCACCAGCTGTTTTAGCTAGTATTTATAGGGATTTGAGTTTGCTTAATAGCGTCATTACAAAAAGCGCAACCACAGGCATGAAGAGTTTAAGAGTAGCTATTTGTGCTCCTTTTCAATTGATTCAAATATGGGCTTTAGAGAGGTTTTTAGCTCTTAAACCACGCCCTATTACAATAGGTCATGGTTTACCAAAGGTGGTTAGATGGGGTGGAGTTAAAGTATTGAAAAATAACAACTTGAAAAAGGACTTGAATATTGCAGGATTTGGAAATGGTTTTCTGTGGCAACCATACCATAATTCACCATCTGTTGAAGTTTATAATGAAAGAGATATGTGGAAATGTCATAATCCAAGTTTTGATGAAGAGATACTGTCGTTTGCGCGGTGTTTGAGGGCCTGTGAATTGGTTGGTATGGGATGTAGAGAGAAGTACTTACCACATCGTGTCGCTAAGCAATTTGGTATGCATCAAGACATTTCTGATAATGTTGCCTCTAGATACTATGATTGGTGGAAGCATCAAATGGAAGGTTCTGATAAAGAGGATCATTTGGTAGTTTATGAACTATCAAGTTCTGATGATGAAGTAGTTGAAAATGGTAAGACTTTGTCTGGTCATGAATTTACATCTTCAAAAGTGGGTGATGAGGGTGAAATTAATAGTCAATATTGTGGTTGAAATGGTGAAAAAGGGGACATTGTTCATCCTTTTATATTAAGTGATGTCTGAGCTTAAAGAATATGAGATTTGGCAGTAAGCCATAGTACTCATTGGTTGGTTTGTAACAAAACAACAATTTAATATTCCTAATTTTGTGTAATATTTAGTTTACAACAATTTATTGCTAACTGACTTTGTATGATGCAAACTTTCAATGTGATAGTTGTTTTCATTTTGTAGTATGTAACTAGTATGAAGGTGCTGAAGGTTATGGAAACATGGAAGTGAATGGAGTTAGTGATTTTGTTGTAATCCTGTTGATTAAAATATTTTTTATGTAACAAATTATGGATTTGCATTTATGAAGAACTTGTTCATGATATAGCATTTTGATGTCCTATTAATGAAGTAGCAGAATTTAAGTACTCATTCATGAGATCAAAGACATTCCTTAAGATGATGTAAATTGATGGTAATTAAAAAAGATTTTCATTGAAGTATTAAATGATGTTCACTATTAAATTCAGTATCATAAATGTATTAGAATCATTATATCGTTTTTGGTCTGATTCTTGAGTGTGTAAACTCAGCTCTCAAGAGACCCTCCTTGTTACATCATTCAGACTCTCATAAAACACTCCCTACATTTAACACTTTCAGCATCTGTTTTGTTTGTCAACACTTGCTGTTTTGTCTCTCTTTGAGAAGGATTTAACCTCATTCTATTTTTCGAAATTCTCATCTAACTTATGGTGGATTGGGTTATTTTTAATATTTGGTTGGTTGGGGAATTTTCGAGCAGGCCGGGAAACTGCACTTTTTGATGTGCTCAATGTAGCATGCAGTAAGTTAATTGTCTTGTGAAAATTACAAGGCCTCAATTCTAATCAACGAATTAGATATTTGAGGACAAATAACAGCAACGACCAAAATAAATGATCTTCAGCAATAATAAATAATAAACAGAAAATATAATAGAATAATGCAAGAAAAGATGAAAGATTTTGTTTACTCATTCGATCAAAAGATCTAGTTTGGAAGAAAGAGCAGTTCTCGAATACACTGTATTCAGTAAGTTGTTATAAGATATTAGAAATGAGTTATAAGAAAATAGCATCCACCTTCAGAGTTCTCAAAAACTAACTCTAAAAGCTCCCAAGAACAAATCCATATTTTTTACCCACGTGTTTCTCAACCTCTATAACTCTCAATATATGAATTATTTTTAACCCAATGTTTTAGAAGTATTTTCCAATCCCTTAAATAACTTCTAAGGTTTTTCAAAAACTCTTGTCTTTCTAAAGTTTCCCTTAGAATTCCTTAAACTCTTATTTTTCCTTTTTACTCTTAAACTCTTTTTGTCACAATATAAAACAGAAGAAATACATATTCATAATTATTAAAATCCAACGAATCCATAACAAATCCAAAAATACCACATTATTGTTAGTGCAGGGTGATGAAATTGAGGAAGAAGAGAGAAAAGGAATAAATACTAAAAGCTGCCACTAATGATTGAAGGAAATTGATTGTCTTAAATGTAAACCTAGTACACCTATTTATACACAAATAGAACAAAGATAAGAATGCCACATAGGGCCTAAAGGGAATATCCTACATATGACAAATACTAAATTACCCTCTAATACCATCCCGTAATTTAGTAACTTATCAGAAGTTAACAACACCAATTTCATCTCTCAAGCGAAGAAATTGGTTTGCTTTTATCGCCTTTGTCAGAACATCTGCTAGTTGCTTCTGAGTGCTACAGTGCAGAACTTCTAACACTCCTTTCTGCACTTGACTTCTGAGAAAGTGATACTTCGTCTCAATGTGCTTGCTTCTTCCATGTAGCACTGGATTCTTTGCAAGATTAATTGCAGACTTATTATCAATCATCAGCTTCAAAGGTTCCTCAACTTCAATCTTCAGATCATGCAGCAGATTTAGAAGCCAGACTGCTTGACAAGCAGCTACAGCACCTGCAATGTATTCAGCTTCACATGTTGACAAAGCCACAACAGGTTGTTTCTTGGAACTCCAAGAAATTGGACCTCCCAGAAACATGAACAAGTACCCAGAAGTACTTCTTCTGTCAACTCTATCTCCACACCAATCAGAATCAGAATAACTCAGAAGTTCTGATTTGATCTTTCCTCCAGAAGGAAATAACACTCCATATTTCAGAGTTCCTTTTACATACCTCAGAATCCTGACAGCAGCTCGGTAATGAGACCACTTTGGTTTGCTCATGTATCTGCTGACAATTCCAACTGTATAGCAAATATCAGGTCTGGTATTACACAAATACCTCAGAGAACCAACCATCTGTTTGAAGGTTGTAGTATCCATATCCTCTCCATCAGAATCAGAATCCAACTTCTGATTCGTATCAGCAGGTGTGATAGCAACCTTGCAATTTGCTAGCTCAAATCTCTTCAGAAGCTCCAGTTCATACTTCTTCTGATGTAAGATGATTCCTTTCTCAGAGTATATAAATTCCATCCCTAGAAAGAAACTCATTTTTCCAAGATCTGTCATCTCAAACGCATTCATCAGAACTTTCTTGAACTCAATTGTTTCTTGTTCAGAACTTCCTGTGAGTAATATGTCATCAACATACAAACAGACCAGAATCATATTACCTTCTGAAGTGTGCTGAACATAAACACCATACTCCATCTCACACTTCTGAAACCCTTGTTCCTTGAAAAACGAATCAATCTTCAAATTTCAAGCTCTGGGCGCTTGCTTCAGTCCATACAGAGCTTTATTTAACATGTATACCATCCCTTCCTGATTCTTTTTTACAAACCCATGAGGTTGTGACACATAACCTTCTTCTTGTAATGGACCGTTCAGAAATGCAGACTTCACATCTAGATGTATCAAAAGCCAATTTCTGTTTGCAGCTAAAGCAATCACCAGTATGATTGTTTCGTGTCTAGCTACAAGCGCAAATACCTCAAAGTAATCTAGTCCAGGTTTCTGAAGAAAACCTCTGGACACTAGTCTCACTTTGTGTTTGCCAATTGATCCATCTGGCTTTAGCTTCTGCTTGAAAACCCATCTGATGCTGATGGCTTTCTTGCCTTTTGGAAGTTTTGTCAGCTTCCAAGTCTTGTTTCTTTCAATAGCCTCAAGTTCTTCTTTCATGGCATTCAACCATACTTTCTTCTTAAGCGCTTCTTCAATACCCACTGGTTCAGAATCTACTAGCATGGCACACTGAACGATTTCTCCTTCAGAATCTACTTCAGTATCATGCAACATGCTAAAATCTGCAAACCTACTTGGTATTCGTCTGATTCTCTGTGGCCTCTGATCTTGTTCTGAAGCTTCTCTAGAACTCAGAACTATGCTAGCTTCTGGACTTTGTCCAGAATTATTTCCTTCAGAATTACCACCTTTAGAGTTACTTCTGGAAACTTGTTCTCCAGACCCCATGTCTTCAGAGTTTTCCCTTCCAGAAGTATAATCACCACCAGATTCTGGATCATCATCAGAATCTGGATCAGAATCAGATCCACTATCAGAATCTCCCTGAGATTCTGACTCATCTTCAGAGTCTTTATCTTCTGACTCTGACTCGTCTTCAGAACTTTCTGAAGGATCTTCAGAAACTAACCCTGGTGTTGGCGCTACACCAGAATCTAATCGAAGCTTATTCCAATCCCATGTTTCTGACTCTTTCACAATGACGTCTCTGATGATTTTAACTTTGTTGGTTTCTGGACAATAAAGCTTATAGGAACCTGTACTGTGGTACCCCACCAGTAACATTGTTTTGCTTCTATCATCCAGTTTTCGTCTTCTAGCCTCTAGAACGTGTTTGTAGCATACAGAACCAAACACCTTTAGATGGCTAATACTTTGCTTGTCTCCAGTCCATTTTTCTAAAGGAACAATTTCCTTCAGCTTCTTTGTTGGACACCTATTCAAAACATATGTTGATGTGGCAACAGCTTCTCCCCATAACATGTGAGGTAACTTCTTCTCTTTCAGCATACTTCTGGTTATATCAAGCAAAGTTCTATTTCTTCTTTCAGTAAGACCGTTGTGTTGAGGAGTATATGGAGCAGTAACCTCATGTTCTATTCCATTCTCCTCACAGAACTTCTGGAACTCTGTAGAGTTATACTCACCTCCACCATTTGTTCTCAGAATCTTCAGCTTCTGACCACTCTGCTTCTCAGCCTTCACCTTGAACTTCTGGAACTCAGTAAACACTTCATGCTGGAACTTGATGAGTGTTACCCATGTCATTCTTGTGAACTCATCCATAAAAGACACAAAATATTTGTTTCCTCCAAGTGAAGGTACTGGAAATGGTCCACACACATCAGAATGTACTACTCCCAGAGCATGATTTTCTCTGGGGGCTACTTTTGATGCAAATGGCAATCTAGGTTGCTTGCCTTTCATGCATATTTCACATGACTTCTGAGGCTTCACAATCTTCGAAATGCCATGTACGAGCTTCTTAGAACTTAGATGCCCTAAGCTTCTATAGTTCAAGTGCCCCAACCTCTTGTGCCACAGCTTACTGTCAGCTTCAGCGCCTTCTGCACTAAGACACTCCGCTTCAGAAGTTTCTACATTCACCTTGAATGTTCTGTTGCTTCCTTGCTCAGACTTCATAATCAACTTCTGATTAGAATCATACAACGTCAAGAGATTGTCCTTCATAACCACTGAGAAACCTTTCTCAATAAGCTGACCCACACTCATCAGATTTCTTTTAATTCCAGGAACATACCAAACGTCTTTGATCAGAATGTTTCTTCCATTCTTCACTCTGACTATAACATTTCCCATACCTTCTGCATTAAGGTACTTATCATCAGCACATCTGATCTTTGTTCTCCTTCTTGAGTCAAAGTCTATCAGCCATTGTTTGTTCCCAGTCAAGTGGTTTGAACATCCAGTGTTCATATACCACCAATCTTCTGAACAGTTTCCATCAGAATCAGAAGCCATCAATAGCACAGGTTCATCATCAGAATCTTCTCTAGCTA